ATGCCACCTGTACAGAGAAGTCTGGGCCTACGGTGGGACTTATTAAAAGATACCTTTGGCTTCAAGTCGGCTCTGCAGACAAACCATTTACCAAGCGTGGTGTTCTGTCAGTGGTGAACAGCTTATACGATCCATTGGGATTTGTGGTTCCCATCACCATACAAGGTAAAGCCTTACTTAGACAGTTCTCAGAGTCTATTAAAGATTGGGGATGCTCCGCTGCCTACAGACAAGCTTTCAAAGTGGGAGTCCTGGAAACAATCTCTACATGCCTTAGATGGAATCAGTATACCACGCTGTTACACCTCAGCTTCCCTTGCTACAAGTCAGAGAAAAGAGCTTCACATCTTCTCAGATGCATCTACTGAGGCCATAGCAGCTGTTGCCTACCTCAAGGTAATAGACTCTAATCAAACCCACATAGGGTTTCTGTTTGGGAAAGCTAAGTTAGCACCTAAGCCTGAGCACACAATTCCTAGCTTAAACTTTGTGGAACTGTGCTAGCTGTAGAAATTGCCGATTTCATACTGCGCGAGTTGGACACTCAGATAGATGACACCAAAAAATCTACACAGACAGCAAAGTTGTTCTGGGCTAACATATACAACCAGACTAAATGTTTTTATGTGTATGTCAGCAACCGTGTAGAGAGAATCAGGAAATCACCTAAACCTGAACAATGGCATTAATGTCCCATCTGAAATGAATCCTGCAGATCATGCCACCAGGCCAGTGTCTGCAAGTGTCTTTGCAAATTCTTCGTGGTTAACAGGTCCTGAATTCCTGCTGGATCATCCAGAAGAAACCTCAGCTAATATCTTCAGTCTTCTAGAACCTGACAGAGATCCAGAGATTCATCCTGAAGTCAAAACCCTTGTCACCAGAACTGAACAAAGACTCGTCTTGGGCTGTCAAGGCTTTGAACGTTTTTTAAGTGGATAAGGCTTGTACGCACCGTCGCAAGGTTAGTCCATATTGCACACTGCTTTCACACAAAGCCCACCAATGTTCAATGTCAAGGTTGGCACATGTGCCAAAAGCTTCTTTCTGCAAAAGACATTGCTGAAGGTGAAATGATCATAATCCACAATGTACAACAGGATGTCTTTGGCTCAGAAATTAATTGTATCTGTGACAAGAGGGACATTCCGAAAAACAGTTCATTTGCTAACCTGAACCCATTCATTGACAGTGATGGCATGTTAAGGGTTGGTGGATGTTTAAACAAGGCTGAGTTGGGAGATCAGGAACAGAATCTTCTCATTATACCTGCTCGCCATCATATCACCACTCTGCTCATACGGCACTACCATGAAGGGGTTAAGCACCAAGGAAGACACTTCACAGAGGGTGCCATAAGAGCTGTAGGCCTTTGGATTATAGGAGCAAAAAGACAGATTACAACTACACTGCACAGCTGTGTTCAGTGCCGGAAACTAAGCGGGTAAACATCAGCAACAGCAAATGTCAGATTTGCCAGCCGACAGATTAAGTACTGACCCACCTTTCACTCACGTTGGTTTGGATGTCTTTGGACCATGGATGGTAACAGCTCGCAGAACTCGAGGAGGCCAAGCAAACAGCAAACGATGGGCAGTGCTATTCACTTGTATGAGTGTGCGCGCAAGTACACATTGAAGTCATAGAATCTATGGATGCCTCAAGTTTCATCAATGCTCTAAGACGATTTCTTGCCATCAGAGGACCAGTCAAGCCACTAAGATCTGACTGTGGAACTAATTTCGTGGAACCTGTGGAGAGTTACAGCTTAACTCTAGCCAATCCAAGACCTTTTAGCTGAAAAGGGCTGTACATGGATTTTCAATCCTCCTCATTCTTCCCACATGGGTGGCTCTTGGGAGAGATGATAGGCATCACACGAAAAATACTGGACTCTATGCTTATGGACTTGAACTCCACAAGACTTACCCATGAGATTCTAACCACGTTCCTGGCAGAAGCATCTGCCATAATCAATTCAAGACCACTTGTTCCAGTTTCTACAGATCCAGAGACTCCAACTATCCTTACCCAGCTACTCTACTTACCCAAAAGCTTGGGTCCGTTCCTGTTCCACCTGGAAACTTTAAAGCAGGAAATCTGTGCTATGACCAGTGGAAGCGAGTACAACACCTCTCCAACCGCTTCTGGAATCGTTGGAGAATGGAGTATATTTCTACTCTGCAAGGATGCAGAAAATGGCAACGCCTGAACCCTAACATTAAAGTTGGAGATCTCGTTCTGCTGAAGGACCAGCAATCTGAAAGAATCGAGTGGCCTATGGGACTCATTGTAAAGAGCATTCCTAGCGATGATGGCAAGGTACGCAAGGTGGAGGTGAAAGTTGCAAGACAAGGGACTGTAAAGACTTTCAGCAGACCTAATCACGGAACTTGTTCTGCTCTTACCCTTTGGAGAATGAACTTGCTTGCGTATGCTGCTGGATCCAACCTGTGACTTCAAGAAGGAAGTGTCTTGAACTTTAATTGATACAACTTGAAGCCTTATGTTATAATTGTTGCACTATATGCATGTTTTTTTTTTATGTCTTTCAGGTCTTCAAGACATCAAGCAAATTGCGCTGTTGTTTATTTGCAATTGTATAACTACCGTTATGGTTTAAATAGTGACATATACAATGCCAGACGGGAGTATGCTGTTACACAGTTAATATTTATGTTAATGTACATGAGAATTCATATAGTTTATTTTTTGTACCATTTCTTATGGACATTTCTATAGTTAGTTATGCTGCCATCCAGTGGCCTTATTTGGTAATGCATTTGTTTTATATTACCTCCCTGAGATCTATGACACAGTTCCTTTGTATATGAAGCTCCTCCCTTCTTCTTGAGTTCAGCACTTCCTGTGTCATGGAGGCAGCTAACAGACCACATGTAACAGGGACACATGTATTCTGCATAGTACGCTACAGAAAGTATCATCTTTTGACTGCATAATACTGGAAACCATTCATTCTGCTGTATCCTGTTGTCACATGTACAGAATAAAAAACTTCTGGATGAACACAGTATTGGTGAGTTCAAGCTATCTGATAAGGATTGCCCACAGTGATTATATCTGCTTATACAGGCTAGGCAGAGAGGTCTCACAAGGGATAAATCGCTATCACAACAATCTGAGTCAGAATAGACGTAGAAGGAGTGTTAAGATTAACAGGTATGTTGAAGTCACCAAGAATGATTGTAGGAATTTCAGAAGAGAGAAAGTAAGACAGCCAGGCAGAGAAGTCATCAAGGAAGCTTGATACCGGTCCAGGAGGTTGATAGATCACAGCAAATCTTAAAGAAACTGGAGAGAATAGATGAATACAGTGAACTTCAAATGAGGAGAGGGACAGAGAGGGAGGTGAATGAAGGACCTTAAAAGTGCTTTATAGGAGGATTCCAACTCCACCTCCTTTCCGTCCACTAGGCCTGGGGAGAGTGAGTCCAGAAGAGACCACCATGGGAAAGGGCAGCAGGAGAGGGAAAGTCTGATTCATGAAGCAAGGTTTCCATAATTACAAACAGGTTAAAGGAGTTTGTGATAAAAAAGGTGAGTTTGTTACAGACAGAGCGGGCATTCCAAAGGGCACAGGAAAAGGGGAGGCTGGTTCTAGGAAGAAGAGGAATAGTAACTAGATTGTGTGGATTGCGGCCCTGTTAGAAGATAGGGGTGTGCTGGGTGTATTGGTCAAAGGAAAAAGATGGCGTTCCAGGATTTGGGGAAATGTCTCCAGATGTTAGGAGAAAAACTGAAGGGTGAGAGAGGTAATATGGGAGTATCACTTATATGAAGGGACAGGTCCCAGTGTCCTGGAGGTTTTATTAGCATGTGGGCTCAGAATTAGCAGGAGTTCATGAGTGCAGTAATAAGGTGAAGACAGGAGTGAGGCTGATATACTGTATATATAAGCTGAGAGGTGGAGAAAAGGGGTGAAGGAGAGAGAATTAGAAGAGAGAGATACAACTGTGAGAAGGAGGAGTAGGGAGTGCATGTTACGGAGTGGTGAGATGAAGAAGCAGACTGGGTAAGAGCTGAAAGAGCTGGATGGGGAAACAGGTCACCTGTAGTCTGATTAGTGTTTTAAATTGTCTGCTGTGGCTTCTCGCTTTGTGCATTAATTGAATTGCATAGCCAAAGTGCAATGCTCAATACTTAAGCCACAATCAGTACTTTAGCCAAGATGATAGTTGCCAATGCTACCCCTGACTGTGCTGCCCCTGGCTGTACATTCCCTAAGGAAGGTCTAAGTTTATAGTGAGTTGGGTGGGGGTTGTCACGTACCTGGTGGGGGAGCCTGATGTGAAGATGAAGGCATCCTCTTACACCTCCTGCTCGGTGCCCCTGATAGAGCAAAGAGAGGCACGAGACCCAGGAGTGGCAGGAGTGCCTGGCAGGTCTGCAATGTCAGCCGAAAGGTGGGGAAGTCCAGACGAGCAGGATGCAGGTCAGCGGAGGATGCAGGTGAGCAGAGAATGCAGATCAGCAGGAGCAGTGGATGGGAGATTCTAGCAGCAGAAACTCAGCAACTGAAGAAGTTAGTAGCAAGGGATAGACACAGGCTGGAGAAGTAGCAGAGTCAGACAAGCCGGGTCAGGATCTATCAGGCGAATCAGGTACAGGTAGCAGGCAAGTGGATAGTCGAAGTTAAGGCCAGGAGTCAGCAACCATCAGGCAGATAGCAAGGGAACAGGCCAAGGCATAGTCCAAGGGTAAGCTAGGTCAGTGCAGGCAGAGTTCATGCGAGGTCAAGACAGGTCAGGTTGAGAACAGGATCAGGATGCAACAGAGGGCAGATAACGGAACGTGGTAAACCAGAAGGCAAGGACTCCTAGTGCAGTTGCAGTTTAACCACCTCCCACCCGCCATATAGTCTAATGACGGGCGCAAGGTGGTTCTCTCGTTCTGGGAGGACATCATATGACGTCCTCCCATTCTCACCGTGCATGCACAGCTCAGGGAGCGCGCGCAGCACGGTGATCGACGGTGCGCTGTGTCCCTCGGACACAGAGGATCACCGATCTACAGAAAGAGCTGAAGATATCGGCTCGGTCACATGATCAGCTGTGTCCAATCACAGCTGATCACATATAAACAGGGAAAATGCCGGTTATCGGCATTTCTCTCCTAACGAGCTGTCACGCTGACAGCTCAAGAGGAGAGGAGAGCCGGTAATTGGCATTCCTCGAAGGGGACATGTACACTGATCATCAGGGCACTGATGATCAGTGTGGCCCCAGAAGTGCCACCTGTCAGTGTCCATCAGTGCCAGCTGTCAGTGCTGAACAGTGCCACGTGCCAGTGCCCATCAGTGCCACATCAATGCCACATATCAGTGCCTACCAGTGCACATCAATGCCACATATCAGTGCCCATCTGAGCTGCCTTTCAGTGTCACACATCAGTGCCAGTCAGTGCCACCTATCAATGCCAATCAGTGCCACCTATCAGTGCTGCCAATCAGTGCCAGTCAGTGCCGCCTATCAGTGCAAGTCAGTGCCGCCTATCAGTGTGCATCAGTGCCGCCTATCAGTGCCCGTCAGTCCCGCCTATCAGTGCCACCTAACAGTGCCAGTCAGTGGCGCCTATCAGTACCCATCAGTGATGCCTGTCAATGCCCATCAGTGCCACCTACCAGTGCCTCCTCATCAGTGCCCATCAGTGCCACCTATCAGTGTCCATGTCAGGAATGGACTCAGCACTGGTGGTGGGACTCGCCTGCTGTGTGGGCTGCAGTACCAGAGCTGACCAGCGGGTGCTCTCAGCACTGGTGGTGGGACTCACCTGCCGTGTGGTCTGCAGTACCAGAGCTGACCAGGGGTGCTCTTAGCAGCCAGAAGCTCACAATCAGCAAAACCTGGGGCTGATTGCAGAAAGGTGTATATAAGGCATGACCAGGCCTGTGCTCGGGGCCTTGGTGTATGTTTTCCCATGAGCCTCTGTACCTGTATCCTGTGTTCCTGCTTTGTTGCTGACCCGGCTTGATCCTGATCTCTGTTGACCGTCTCCTGTTCTGACTACTGGCTCATCCCTGACTATTCTTCTGCCTACTCCTATGCTGTTTGACCTCCTGTTGCTGTACCTTGGCTTGTGACCCGTTTACTCTTTGCCTGCTGCTCTGTACTGATCTGCCTCCACCGTTACTGACCCGGCTTGTCTGACCACGCTAACTACTCTGCCATCCATCCATCCTGCACGGATCCAGCCATACCTGCACATACCTCTGGCGGATCCCTCTACCACTAGCAGGTGTACTCAGGGGCCGCGACCTGGTCTCAGTCCTGCGCCAAGTCCATCCCCACCATCAGGGGCTCTGGTGAAAAGGCAGACTGGGGCTTAGACTCCGCGCCCTGGGAATCCTGCCTGAGGACCGCTAGAGGTACCACCAAACGGTCATTACAGAGCCCTACGGCCGGCCTGACCGTTCCACCTCTCCAGCCCTGACTACGCCTGTGTTCCTGCACCTCCTAAAGATTAGTGGAAGGTTGGTTTGCTCACTGTGCGTTTATATATATATATATATATATATATATATATATATATATATATATATATATCTGGGTGGCTAATAATTACCTGTATTATACTATACCTGAAACCTGCGTTTCCCTGTGTCAGTCCACACCTTTCTGGTCATTCCTTGATTCCTGACAGTCCATCAGTGCAGCCTATCAGTGCCCATCACTGCAGCCTCATTAGCGCACATCAGTGAAGGAGAAAAATCACTTATTTACAAAATTTTACAACAAAAACTAAGAAAAAAACTTTTTTTTTTCAAATTTTCTGTGGTTTTTTGGTTTAAGAAAAAATAAAAAAACCCAGAGGTGATTAAATACCACCAAAATAAAGCTCTATCTGTCACAAAAAAAATGATAAAAATTTCATAGGGGTACAGTGTTGCATGACCGCGCAATTGTTATTCAAAGTGTGACAGCGCTGAGAGCTGGAAATTGGCCTGGGCAGGAAGGGGGTATAAGTGCCCTGTAGGCAAGTGGTTAAATAGCCTGTCTGGCGCGCCAGTCTGGTGGCACGTGTGCATGTCGGCACGCGCATGGCCACGAGCACGGCTGTTGGGCAATGCACCTGGGCATTCTTTGTCTTTCCTGACAGTGCCCCCTCCTATTGGGCAGCCTCCAGATGCCTAACTGGGCCAGTTTTTCAGGATACTTGTGTCTGAAAGCCAAGATTAAGTCTTTAGCATGAATATTGGACTCTGGTTCCCACAAGTTATCTTCAGGCTCGTATCCTTTCCATTTATTAAATATTGAAGCCGATTCCTCCCCTTTCTGCAATCTATAATTGTCTCTTCCTCGTATTCTTCTTCGCCATTACCAAATACTGGTTCAGGCGGACTCTACTTCCGATCAGAAAAAGGATTAGAGACTGAAGGTTTAAGCAGCAACACATAGAATACAGGGTGAATCTTTAGCGAATCTGGCAATGTAAGTTCATACATTGGAAAAAGTCCACGTTTCTTCAAAGGACATGTCAATTTTATTTATTTAGTTATGGACAACCATACTTGTCACCAGGTTCCAGAATCAAGTCCCCCTTACTTTTCCTATCAAAGAACCTCTTGTTGTCCTGCTGAGCTTTCGAGATTGCCTCTTGTAGTACCTTGTTATTTTGCTGAAGGAATTCAAGGGTGTTTTGCACAGCCAGTATTAATGATTCAGGCACCATGTTGGATAGAAACAAGGATGAAATCCATAATTTGAAAAGAAGGGAGACTGTTTCGTGGCCAAGTGCTTTGAGTTGTATGCAAACTTAGCCAAAAGTAATAGTGACACCCAGTCATCTTGGGAGAACGACGCAAAGCAGCGGATATACTGTTCCAAGGTCTGATTGTGTAATGGATTTCCGGCAAGAACAATTGCAATTGGAAATGCGCATGCGCATAGGAATTCCCGCAGAAGAATTGCCGGTTGTGCGTATGCGCACAGGAATTTGCGGACGCACGCACGTGCACATGCGAAGATTGGTGCCAGACGGCCTATTTAAGGAGTGCCTCTGCTCATGTTCAATGCTGCCTGGTCTTCAGCTCCCCCTTGTCCTGCTTATTCCTGTGTGATTCCTTTGTTGCTGACCCGGCTTGTTCCTCACCTGACTCTGATTGCTCTCCTGATACTGGTTCCTGACTTCGGCTCTGCTCCTGACCTTGGCTTTTCCTTCTGATTCTGTACTGTGCTGCCCGACTGTTGATGACCCTGGATATTCCATGACATTGCTCCTGTTTCTTGTCCTCACTACCTGCCTTGCTCTGGTGCACGCCTGGCAATCTGCAAAACCTGCTCTGCCTACTACTACTGTGCCAAAATCAGAGGATCATCAGCCTTCCAAGGTCTTCATCTGCAAGAGCTGCAAACAACAACTACTGGCACTCTTGTTCCCCTGGGTCCTGGACTCCTTCTGTTCCAACTCCAGCGGGGTCAAGGCTAGTGACACAAGTGAGACCTCGTCACTTCAGTCTCCCATCAGGTACGTGACAGATTGGTTCTTTCTGGGAATGATATGCAGAGAAAGTTCCACTTTTAGTGTTTCACTAGAATTTCGATGTAAATTGCAGTCCTCGATTGGAGACAATATTCCCAGGGACATCATGGAGCCTCACAACTTCCTTTATGAAGACTCAGGCAGTTTCCATTGCAGAAGGTACACCCTTCATGGGAATAAAATGGGCCATCTTAGAAAATTGGTCCACCACAACAAAGATGGCCGAACATCCTTCCGATGGCTGTAATTCTATGATGAAGTCCGTTGAAATCATTTTCCAAGACCGATCAGGGACTAGTAGGGGCCTAAGTAAACCCCAGGTCTTGTTTACATTGCTCTTGTGGCATATACAAGTAGGGCAGGAATTCTCATATCTCTTACAATCCGTCTCCCATTCAGGCCACCAGAACAGGCGCTGCACCAGGTCTGTAGTTTTGTGGTCTATAGGCAATATGAAATATAAATTTGGAGAAAAAAAGTGACAACCTGGCTTATCGAGGTTTCAAACATTTTGCAGTTCTTAAATATTCCAGATTCTTGTGATCTGTGTAGATCAAGATGGGGTGTGCTGCTTCCTCTAACAGGTACCTCCATTCCTTCAAGGTCGACTTGATAGCCAGCAGTTCACAATCCCCTACATTATAATTCCTTTTTGCAAGAGATAATTTACGGGAAAAGAATGCAACTGGATGTAATAGAAGTTTCAGGCCCTGGCATTGTGATAGAACTGCCCCAACTGCATTTTCCGAGGCATCCACTTCTACCACAAAGGGTAGTGCCGTGTCTGGGTGGCTTAGAATGGGTGCAGAGGTGAACAGTCCTTTTTAATGAATCAAAAGCAGTTTGAGCTTCAGATGTCCAACAGAATTGAATGCCTTGTTTCGTCAGCTGATTGATGGGGGTGATAATGGCAGAGAATCCCTTGATATATTTCCTGTAGAAATTAGAAAATCCCACAAAGCGCTGGATTCCTTTCCTGTCTGATGGTGCAGGCCACTCCAGGATGGCAGAGACCTTCTGTGGGTCCATCCTAATGCCTTCGGTGCAGATAATTAATCCCAAGAATAGGATGCTCTGACGTTCAAATTTACATTTTTCTGGTTTTACATATAGTCCATGTAAACTAAGGTGACCAAGGACCTTTTGAACATATAATAACTTGGTGCTGCGCTAATAATTAATCCTTGGAAATAAAAATAAGCAGAAAAATATCACAGAAAGAGCATATAAATCTCAAAATAAATATAGAATAGAATACACATGAAATATATAACCGTGGAACCCCCAAAGTACTAAATCTAGGGTGTTACCTACATGCACCTTAAATAGGTGACTAATGGATATCAAAATATATATAAAAAAGATACATAGAATAGAATACACATGAATATGCAAAATCATATATGACGGTGAAACCCCCTATATCTAAGGTGTAACCTAACTACACCCCAAATCGGTGATTTATAAGTGACAATCCCTAAAAAGTGCCAAATAAGTGACAAAATAAAATCCCACCACTACTGTGCTAAATTGCACAAATGACTAGTGATGCAAAATGTATACCTACAGGTATATTCCGTGCCAAACTGGTAATTGCCAAAAAAAAAACTACCCGAAAAAAACACTTATAGTGCTCAAAAGTGAAGAAAAAGAGAAATAATTAGAAAAAGTGGTTATTCGTGAAAAACCATAAAGCTAGTTTAACACAACATAATCGAAAATACAACATCCAAATTCAGCAGATAAATGACTAATAAAAGAAAAAATGTGAACCATATAGCAGTGACCCCTAATTGGGGATAACGTGAAAATTAGTGGCTAAGTGACACTAATAGAATCTTTGTATGTAGTGAAGTATTTATAAGCCACACAGCCTATAAACATAAAGTACAGGGAAGAAAAATAAACTGCTTAATGTGACCCCCAAATGTGGGGATAAAAATTGAACTGATAACATAGGGGAACGTCATTCCAATTGGTAGCGCCGCTCCAGC